CTAAATTCATCATAAAATGGATGGACTGACTACTGAGAAATGTAGAATTTTCTTCACGTTGCTAAATCTAATATGTACTTTTTAGTTCTAAATTGATTTTTCAGTTGCATTCAAAATAGTTGACTGGCCAGTCCCTTTTTTCCAGCCTACTGCCTTAGCTTCAGTGATACCAATGAAACTTTCCTCCAACCTCTAGCTACTCCTTCTCAGTCTCCTTTGTTCCATTTCTTTTTCCCAATGTTTAAATGCTGAAGATGCACAGGGTTTAGTCCTAAACCTGCTTATCTTCTCTCTATATATTCTCTCCTTAGGGAATCTCATCCCCTACCCCAAGACATCAATGATAAGCAATACACTGACTATTCCCAAAGTTATCTCCAGTCTAAACCTGTTTGCTGAGCTCCAAATCTATTTATCCAGTTGCTACTATGAAACATCTCCACTTGTATGTCTCACTTTCAAGTTTAATTAATTTTCAAACTGAGTTATGATCGATACCTCCTCTTCTCTGACACTACCAAACAGAAAACTGCTCCTCCTCTAGAACTCCCCACCTTCAGCATAAGAACTACTAGACCTGGAAATCAGCCTTTTCCTCTTCCCAGGCCCCCAAATCTAATCCATCACCAAATCCTATCAATTTTACCCCCAAAATATTTACCAGATCAGGCTACTTTATCACTGCCATCCTGAATAAGATTCCATCATCTCTTGCCTAAATTACTATAACAGCTGAACTCTATGCTATTCAAAATGTGGTCTGTGAATTAATACCGGTCCACATCTCAGACCATTTGCTATTGGTCTGAGATGAGGTAAACACAGAAATGAAGAGGAAGCACTTAGAAATTTTTATAGCAATTTGACACTGCCACAGCATCTATTTTATTGTGTTCGTAAAGTACAAGTATGAATTGGAAATTAAAACAAAACTGGTCCTTCACCACAGATAAGTTTGGGAAGCACTGACCTAATTGGTCTCCCTGCGTTTGCACTTGCCTCTCTCTAATATGTCCAGAGCAGCCAAGTGATGTTTTTAAAAAAAACTGAGTAACTTATTCAGCTGTTTAACATTCTCTGTTGGCTTTCTATTGCTTTAGGATTAAGTACAAAACGCTTAGCATGGATTTTCGCCACTGTGATCTGCTCCAGTCTCACTTCCCATCCACCAACCTCATGTACTAGGGTCCAGTACCCACTGGATCTTTCAGTTCTGGAAAGCTGCAATTGCCAACATCACTTGTGTAACTACAGTTCATCCTTTAGATTTCAGCCTAAGAATCCTTCTTCAGAGAAGCATTCCCTGATGGATTAGTGGGCTTTCATAGTTTACAATAATTTTCCTTTTTAGCACTTATCATAACTATTTTTTATAATTTTTTTAGTTTCTTTATTCCCCAACAGATTTTGTCTTCATGAATATGGGTATGCTCTTTCCATTAACATGTGTCCCCAGAGCCTAGCACTGTGCCTGGCAAAGATAAGTTGTTCAATAAACTTTTGCTAAGTGAGCAAATATAAATCAGGATACAAAACAGTAAGAAGGACCACCAAATGCAAACACCTTCCATATATAGCCATATATAGGCTTGGGATAAGATAGTGTACCAGGTGCTTTACAAAAGTTAAATTTCCTTTTCTTCCCTAAACAACCTAAAAAGACAGGGAAACCCCACTGTTAAGATTAAGTTATAAAAAATAAACAAAAAGGATTTTCAGAAAGTGAAGGATTTTTCGTAAGTATTCAACAGGGAAGTGGAAGGTCTGAGAAGCAACAATAGTAATAGACTACAGAACTATACTGCTTCGCTGCAAAGCTTACTGAACTGTGTGATTTTGTAGAAGATAAGTAATCTGCTTCTCAGGTTCCTCATTTCTAAAATGGGGATCAGAATAAAGCCTTCTTTAAATAATCATTATGAAGTTTAAATAATATATAAAAATTCTTTGAACCAGTGCTTGGCAAAGGGTTTTATAAATGTTAGCGATTATTCTCTTTAATATTATTAACAGTCCTCACTTATAATTTTATCTACTTACTTGTTTATTGTCTGTCAGTGTCACATTAGAATATAAATTACAAAAGAGCAGAGACATAATTATTATCATTTCCTGACAGAGCTTTTCTCAAAGGCTCTGCAGTAATTAAGACCTACAAAAACAGATTTGAGTGACTATTTTCTCAGTTCTCTCAGGAATGGGACATAGCTAGCACCATCCTAGTTAACAGGAGATGAGGTAATTCATTACATACTTTGAATGCCTTCGAGCATTAGGGCTTGATTTTCACTGGAACCATAGTTGAGAGGGCCTCTCTTATGTATCCACAATGCCTAGCACAAGGTAAGTAAGTGCTCATTAAATATTTTTGGAAAGAATGAATACTTACAAAACCAAAGGAACAGTGCTAAGCATACAGCAGATACTAAATGTCAATTCTATTCTATTCCTTCAAAGTTCCTATAAGTCTTAAAAGTCTGACTCTAAGGGAGTCATTTTTCTTCAGCCTGTGCTGCCTATACTATTCAAGGCCCAAAATGCAGAATATAGACACCAGGAAAGCCAAGAAACAAAAAAAACACAATGTTGGCAGGAACTATGTGGAAGTAGTAAGAGATGAAAGATAGGCAGAATTTGGATATGCAGGAGAAAGAGCAAAGGTTACTCTAGGTCAGAGAACAGTATTAGCAAAGACAGTATCACCCAGAGTATGGAGCAAGTTCTCCTGGCAGTACAAAAATGGTTTTAGGCTACAGACAGAAGAATATTTTTATTTTATTTTATTTTATTTTTTTAAAAGATGACCGGTAAGGGGATCTCAACCCTCGCCTTGGTGTTGTCAGCACCACGTTCAGCCAGTGAAGCCAACCGGCCTTTCCTATATAGGATCTGAATCCGTGGCCTTGGTGTTACCAGCACCGCACTCTAACAAGTGAGCCACAGGCTGGCCCCAGAACATTTTTATTTTGATATGTTCATATTTTTACATGTAATTAGGATGGTACGCGATTTCAAATTTTTACTATTTATAACAGCACTAAAGAAATATCTATTTAGATTTTTTAAAGTGAGTCAGTTAAAAACATATTAAGTAAACAACAGTGCCCAAGAGGTAAGCAAATAATGGCAAAACTATCGGGGGTTTAAAAATAAGTAAAATTTGGTAAACACCAAGCAAAGGCATGTGAATATGAATGAACATAACAGATGAAAAGAAAAAAGCCACCAATCTTGTGAATGAGGCCCAAGCTCTGTCTTGAGTAGTGATTCAAGGTAAAGGTCAAACGGGTATGAAGAATACCGCCAGTTTGGAGTATTTAATTTGCAGCACTGAAATTCTTATCTGTAAAACCCTCATTTTCCATTCCAGTGAACCTGCTACACACTTCAACATCGTTTATTTTCAAAACAAAGATAAAATTGTAGAAGTTCCAGATGTCTGAAATAAAGACTGGCCTATCTGTAGCTTGGTAATTTACTTGAAAATAGGGAACTAAAACCCTATATTTATAATTAACTTACACAATAACAAAATACAAATCATATCTACACCAAAAAGTGTGGTAAAGGGAAAAGAGTAAGAAGGCAGCTTTCCATTCCCTTTCTCTCTCAGAATTAACCTACCAATAGCCAGAACAAGTCAAGCTAAGAAGGGAGGAAAAATGTAATATTTATCAAATGTTTATGTGCCTGACACTGTTCTAAGTACTTTACCTGCATTAACCCGTGCAATCACCACCACCATCCTATGAAGTATATCTTTATCCCCATTTTATAGCTGTTTAAGAATACTGAGGCCTGGAAGGGTTAAATAACCAGCCCAAAAGCCAGAGCTGGAAAGGGGCAGGGCAGGGGGTTAGACCTTGGCAGTTCCACTACAGATGCTGAGCTCTTCACCACTATGCAACATTTCTCTCAAGAATGATGGGATAATAATTTGAAATATTCCACAAGTCCTAGCATAGAGGGGGAAATGTAATTTTCGAAGGCATGAACCCCTTACTACTTGAATTTCCAATCCAAGAACAATGGAACCAATTGTAAAGAAGTGGAAAGATGAGTTTTATAATAGCGCAAATTCTAGTTCCAGGATTAGTCAAATATAAAGAAGCATCAGAAACCTCCAAGGATGACTTAATGATAGTGTTCACAGTCATGAAGAGAAATAAGCGGAAAGTTAGGATAAGTAGAAGGTGAATCTATTCCTACCGAACTCCGTGACTGCTTTGAGGGAGAAAATAATACCATCTCTTTTCCTTTTTGTGAGTCAGTACACAAATTCATAAGCTCAAGAAGAGGTAGAATTAGGAAAAAGGGTAGCAGCAGGGAATTAAAGAGGGAAACTCATGATTTGTATCCTTCAAGACTTAGACCCTGAAATGCAGGGTTAGCTCGATGTACCCTGGTAAATGTGCGCGAGATTACTAAAAGTGAAGAGTGTGTGCTCGAAGGTAGGGAGGGTTGAAGGCATGACTACTGGGGTGGAGGTACTGAGTGGTCTGGAGAGCTGAGAACTCACCCTAAAGTGGACTAACAGGGATGACAGTTTCGAGCGTCCGTACTTGGGATGAGGAGGTACCGGATGTGGACGCTGGTGGTGGTGGACGAAGGGGGCAGTTTCTTGCTTTGGGCAGTACTCAGAGTGGGTGGGAAAAGGAATAAAAAGGCAGGCGTGGAGCTATACAGGTATAAAGGAAGAGGGAGACCGGCCAGAGGAAAAGAAGGGCGAGGCCCGTTGAGAAAACTAAGGGGATCCCGGTAGGCGGAGGCTGGGAAATCGAAGAGGGGACATCCCCTGGGGAAGTAAGACGCCGTAGGGGAGGGAGGTCCGGGAGGCAGAGGACGGGCTGGAGCGCGGGGGAGGACAGGCAGTCCCCGAGAAGGCCGAAGGCGCACCGCGAGGGGGAAGGAGGCCGCCCGCCAGGCCACCTGCGGGGGGTGTGAGGGAGGAGCGAGGGACCACGGCCGCGGCGGGGACTCGGAGGGGGAGGGGCACTTACCCGGACGTGAGGGGCGGCGGCGGCTCCTCTCGAGCTGAGGTGGCGGCCCGGGAGCCCGAGGCTGCGACGGCGGGGGTGATGGCGGCGAGTCCCTGTGGCGGCCGCCTCCGCCGAACCGCATCCCTCCTCCCCGGCCTCTTTCCCTATCTCCCGCTCCTAAACTTCTTCCCCGGGATAAACAAACCCGCCGCCAGGGGCGGCCGCCTCCGTCGCTCCAGCCCCGGTGCAGCCCCCCCTCCCCGCCCCGTGCGGGTCTGGGCTCCGGCTTCCGAGTTACGACTCCAGCCCCAGCCCCAGCCTGCGAGTGCGCGTGCGCGCGGCGGCCGCGCCGGCTCGCGAGGCTCTTCCTCTCTCCCGCCCGCGCCGGGCACTTCCGGGCGGGCCCGGATCCGTCGTCTGGGTGTGGGAGCCGTCACCGCCGCCTGGTTTTGGGCACCCGGCTGTGCGGGCTCCGCAACCAGGGCTGCTGTGGCGGGGGGTGAGGAGGGCCCTCGCTCTACCAGCACCCTTCTTCGGCCAAGCATAAAAAAACTTCCCTGCCTTGAAACCACTGATACGCCTCCTAACTGGTCTAATCCACCCAAGGTAGGAAAAGTGGCGACCGTGCTTGCGCCCGATTTTTCTGGGGCTGCACCGGTATAGAAAGCCAAGGTGCAACTTTTTTTTTTTTTTTTTTTTAAAGATGACCGGTAAGGGGGTCGATAACTTCGTATAATGTATGCTATACGAAGTTATTACGGCCCGGATCCGTCGTCTGGGTGTGGGAGCCGTCACCGCCGCCTGGTTTTGGGCACCCGGCTGTGCGGGCTCCGCAACCAGGGCTGCTGTGGCGGGGGGTGAGGAGGGCCCTCGCTCTACCAGCACCCTTCTTCGGCCAAGCATAAAAAAACTTCCCTGCCTTGAAACCACTGATACGCCTCCTAACTGGTCTAATCCACCCAAGGTAGGAAAAGTGGCGACCGTGCTTGCGCCCGATTTTTCTGGGGCTGCACCGGTATAGAAAGCCAAGGTGCAACTTTTTTTTTTTTTTTTTTTTAAAGATGACCGGTAAGGGGGTCTCAACCCTTGGCTTGGTGTTGTCAGCACCACGCTCAGCCAGTGAGCGAACCGGCCATCCCTATATAGGATCCGAACCCGTGGCCTTGGTGTTATCAGCACCACACTCTACCGAGTGAGCCACGGGACGGCCTCAAGGTGCAACTTTTGCTGAGCTCCCCTTGCGAGCCCAGAACCCTCTGAACTACAGAAACCCAAATAGCAGTATACAGACTCCGAAGAGAAATGGAGAACAGTCCGGGTAGACAGAGGTAGTGCCACAGTAGAATGGTTTTCAATTGGAGAGGCTGAGCCTAGGAGGGGAGGGATGCGGGATGCTTGGGGAGTGTAGAAGAGCAGGCGGCAGCCCAGGACTGGACGTTGGTAAGGCAAGCTGTGTCTAAGCAAAAATCTGAAGAGGTGAGGAGATTGCCTCGTCTCTTCAAATATTTAGAATTTAGATAAAAGAGTGACAACAGAACTTTTTATTAAGCACGCCCATGAGAGAAAGATCTTGATCTACCTGCCTGGAGTAAACGTCATTGAAGGTTTGAGGGACCAACAATTCAGGCTTTGCCAGAGTAGGGATGATCCCAACTCTTTTTACTTTAACTGGCTGTGCATCGATTAACTTCCGATTGATTACTTGCTTCCCAAGAAAAGGGAGGGGCGAATAAAAATCTTAAGTATTTTACTGTTTGCCGAGCACTGTACTAAACATAGACTTGTATCATCTCTTTTTAATCCTCTCAACAATTTCTCTACAACTTCGTGGTAAGAATTATTACCATCTTACAGAAAAAACAATGAGGACCAGAAATGACAAGTAACTTCCAAGGGTTAGGTTACTTGAATTTGAACACTGGACAAGCAACCCCCCCCCCCCAACTTCATATTAATATATTAGCAATTTTATTTAAAGAACAAAACGTGCTTGGGATACAATATTCGCCAAGAGTTTTCAGAAATTTCAGAGAAAATAAGGTCATCGTAACTGTAGAATTCAAAGTTGCCTTGGGTTGAGTTGGTAAATGTTTATGCAGATCAAGGAACTCCAAAGTTAAGAAACAAATGTGGAAGTGAGCATTGGTGTGTGGGGGCTGGTGGAAAGAAGAAATATTAGTACAAACATTTCTCCAACTCCAAACGCCAGCAAGGGTCAGTTAAAACTATTTGCTATACTCATTGTGGCTCTGTGTTAGCTTTATGATGTGACAGAAACAATGGAAATTAATTGCATGTCATTTTTTACCAAGCCTTTTAGCTATTTCAGCCCCTTAATATTATATCACCCCCTGTCCTCCACTAATCAAAAATTATTAGGCACTTAATAAACAATGTACTCAAGGAATCAAATTATAAGTCCTTCAAGTAGATTTCCAATTGAGTTAAGATGTGAGTGATTCTTGCTGACCCTTCACACTTTTTTTTTTTTTTAAAGATGACGGGTAAGGGGATCTTAACCCTTGACTTGGTGCTGTCAGCACCACACTCAGCCGATGAGCAAACCGGCCATCCCTATATAGGATCCGAACCTGTGGCCTTGGTGTTATCAGCACCACACTCTCCTGAGTGAGCCATGGACTGGCCTGACCCTTCACACTTTTTTTTTTTTTTAAAGATGACGGGTAAGGGGATCTTAACCCTTGACTTGGTGCTGTCAGCACCACACTCAGCCGATGAGCAAACCGGCCATCCCTATATAGGATCCGAACCTGTGGCCTTGGTGTTATCAGCACCACACTCTCCTGAGTGAGCCATGGACTGGCCTGACCCTTCACACTTAACTGAGTTCAAGTTGGGGAGTAATTCAATAAATTTCCACCACAAGGATGTCAAATTGCTCCTCAGGGTATTCTCATAGACTCTTTTCCCTAGGCTCGATCTCCTTGACCTAAGTGTTAGGATATTGGTATGGGTGGAATGTGTCCCCCAAAGATTCATGTGTTGGAAACATAATCTCCACTGTAACAGCGTTAAGAGGGTAGGAAATCCCACTATGGTAGTTGAAAGGTGGGGCCTTAAATAGGTGATTAGATTATGAAGACTACCCTCATGGATTGATCCATTCATGGAGTAATAAGTTGATGGTTTAATGAGTGACAATGGGCATGGTTCTGATGGCTTTAAAAGGAGAGCAAGTGAGGAAATTAGCCTCTTTTGTCCAGCCATTCTAGCCCTTCCTTACTGTAGAAGAAGGCCCCCAACAGATGTGTTCCCTGGGCTTTGGACTTCCCAGCCTCCGAAACTAAGGAATAAATTTTGTTTCTTTGTTAATTTCCCAGTTTCAGGTGTTTTGTTGTAAGCAGCAAAAACAAACTATTACAGATATACCAGTTCTCTCTTCAGTGATGTCAGCCACTAATAAAGTGATAGTAAATAGTAATAGTGAACATGGCTTGGGATGCTAATAAAACTGTGATGGTTTAGCAAAGTAAAATATGAGTTTATGGTCAATAAACTTGGATTAAAGATTAGTAATATAGTGCCAATCTGCTGAAGAACTACATTTCTTGATTTGATTTTCTACTTACTGGATACCTTCTGGAAAACTAGACTATTATGATAGGCTTTTGTTTATTGCTGCCATAAGTAAATTTTAAAAGTAGAGAAATAAGTAATACCTTTATCACTGCGTACCCCATAGTGTGCCTCCACCAGTCTGATATCAGGCTTGCAGCACTAAGGCATTAGCCATTAGGATCGAATACCAAACTTTCAGATATTCATTTTGCTGCTCATTGTCAATTTTCTATAGGAAACCGTTTAAACTCCTCAATGTATGTGGCTGATGTGGTGGTACTTACTTATCGTAACTAATAGGTTGGCAGTTAGTGAGTATGAATTGGACAGCCATTCTCTGGGCTTAATGAGCACAGATGAGCCCCAAATTTTGGATTTCCTTGATCCAACTCTAAGAGTCTCTGCCAAAAGAGCCAGCCGGTCTTCCCACTTTGATATTTTAATGACTGCAGCATCTTATTCCTCTTTTCTAAATTAAACACCACAGATGCTCCCATTTCATTGCTGGGTATGTGCAATGGACTCACCACTGCATTCCATGCCACTGCCTATTTTGTACTATCATTTTCCAATTCTAGTTGTCAAAAACAGCCATACAAAACAGCTCACAAATCAATTATCTTCTGTGTAGAGTTTGAAAAAAGAAAATAAGTATCCATATGCTTGTTAGCAAACCTGTTATACATTATGAATCTTAAGTGATGTATTCTTTGGGCTTGCCGCCCCTGGACATTTACCTATTACCCCTAACCTTTTAAATGTGGTCCACCTAGCTCCTCTCTGCTAGATAGCTGGTTTCCACCTATTATTCTACCCGTTATTACCTCCTGTCTTAAATTTTCTTCAAGCGAACTAAACTCAGCCCTTACTTCCATAAGCTAACACTTGTGATCAGACATTTAAAATGACATTTGGCTTTTGGAATTAAAGTGGAAAGAAAAGGACAACTCATTTGCTGATTATTTTTCACTGTTGTAAATATTAGGCCTTTTATCTGGAAGGAAACACTAAAACCCTTGTTGAGTCACTTGTAAGTTATCATACACATAATTCTCTTTCCACGTCTCCATTTTTTTAATCACTGTATTTTCACCTTGCTCGTGAATTCCTAGTTTTGTAGTACTTTTATATTGTATGATACTGACTTTTAAAGGGTACAAAGAACTTCAGAACTGAAACATTATACTACAGCCCTTGTCTAGTGATACCTATAGCAAAAAAGGGCCTCTAAGCGTGATGTTCTTATCACTCACAAATTATTCCCAGAGAACTGAGAATGGTCCCCACCTAGAATTCTGAGAACAGGATTAATTTTAAGTTCTTTAAGTCTTCATTGACACCATTACTTTCATGTCCCTAGCCACATTATGTGAAATATCCCAGAAAGCTCCCTTATTTCAAATTAACTGCTTTGGTCCATTATAATCTGTCAGGTCTACTGTAGGAGAGATGATTTTTGTTGTTTTTTCTTCTATCACAATTTAAAGAGTAAGGGTTGAGTTGCAGTTGAGTAGTTGACATATTGCTACATTTTATAGTCATTCAATTAAATATTAATTTTAATCAGGTTTGAAACATTTTTGA